ACGTCTTAGGGGGTAAAAAAATTCACTATTTAGTAAGCAGAGGTGTGTAATAGATCAACCATATTAGTTTAAGCGTGTAACTGACTTTTCGAGACAAGTTTAGAAATAAATTTATGACTTTTCCCAAGTTTTAAATTTAAACTTGAATAAATAAAAACTTATGTGACATAGTAAATATTTGTATTGTATTGACAATAATATAGTTATGTTAAAATAAAGCACAAAAAAAACCATTAAAGGTTGAATCCTTAATTAGAAGTTTTGAATTAAGATTTGAATGAAGATAAACTTGTATGACGCAGTAAAATTGTATTTACAATATATAGTTATGTTTCGAAAGGATTGCAAAAAATAGCTACATGATGAAAACATCAGAATGGAAGAAAATGCCATTTAAATGTCTTCATAGTAACCAAGGGTTTGTTTGATCATGAAAATTGTGGAATTCAAAAAATACATATTTTATTTTCAAAGTAAAAATAATACTTATTTGAAAATTAGAGTTATATTTGATTATACATACAAATTAGAGTTATATTTGGTCATACATACAAATTAGAGTTGTTTCTAAATTTCGTTAGTGATTTTGAGTGAAGAACAAAAATAATTTTTTGATACTTTTCAAATATAAGATTTTATGATCATACAAGATTTCTTAGATCAATTTCGAAAAAAATAAAAGATATGCATGGTCGAACGACCATTCAGACAAATAAATTAAACATGAGGAATATTATCATAATAAAGAAATAAAATATAACATTACCAAAATAATTTTCAATTTTTTTCCCAACTTAATGCATAAAAGACACTCAAACTTATCATTCATCATCAACTAACAAGTAAGCATTTCAACTTATTTTTGACGTGTCATTTGAACATTTCAACTTATATAATTAATTAACTAAACACCTTCAAAATCTATATATGACATTACTATTGTGCATCCCTGAAATACAGTGAAAACAAGTTGAAATATTCAATTGTCATTCATCACACTTTCAAAATTAGAGTGCATGATTAAACCTAAATTTAAGTATTTGTTTATATATTATAAAATAAAATGGAGTACTAATTTTAAAATGACAAAAGATGCTTAGAGAGAGTGAAAGAAATCAAGAAGAGTACATATATGAGTAATATTTCTTTCACTTATAAGTCAAATACTTTTAACTCATATTCTTGGACAAAAAAAAAATCATTGTGGACATCATATTTTACAATATTATTATGCCATTTTTCAACAAATAATAAAACAAACTTTCTAACCATTTTATATAAAAAGAAATTCACACAGACCCTGGTTTAACTCCTTTTCTTCTTCATTTTGAAGGGAAAAAAATGGAAACTCTTCCTCCTCTGCAAAAGTGCACAGTGGACAAATTTTCAGCCATAGTAACCAGAACTCACACTTTTATTCACTCAATAGCAATACTCTTCATGCTCTACTACAGACTAATAATCAATCTCAAGGAAATTCCAATCTCATTTTTACCTTATTGGTTCCTAATCTTCGTTTCCGAGCTACTTCTCTCCTTCCTCAGGACACTCGACTCAGCTCATATATTCTCTCCAGTTACCCGCTCCGTCTACCCGGAAAACTTGCCGCCGGACGATGAACTACCGGCAATCGACGTTTTTGTATGTACGGCCGATCCGATAAAGGAACCGGCGTTGGGAGTTATGAACACTGTTTTATCAGCGATGGTGATTGATTATCCGCCGGAGAAGGTAACAGTGTACCTTTCCGACGATGGCGGTTCGGTTAAGACGCTGTGTGCGGTTCGTGAAGCGTGGAGATTTGGAGAAGTGTGGATTCCGTTTTGCAGGGAATTTGGAGTGAAGAGGATTTGCCCTGAAACTTTTTTTCAAGCAGCTGACGATGAGATTAATGGCGGCGAGGATTATTTGCTAGAAAGAGACAACATTCAGGTAGTCACGTAGATTTTGGTTTGGTCGGGATAAAATTATTTTGAAATTATAATTTTCATAATATAATTTAAAAGTATTCTTATACTTTTTCGTTGGCTTTCACTAATATTTCGATTTAAACTTTACATCCTCTCAACAAACAAGGACTTAGTATGAATGTTTTACTATAATTTTTATTTATTATTTAATTCTTAATTTATTTTTATTATTAATCATAGTAATTTTTTAAGACATTGAATTTGTTAAATCTTTTCTACATGAGCCTCGACATACAAACCCAATTAATAATCTTTTCAAACTTGTCATCACACTAGAGGCCACTTTTTTAATTTATATTATCTTTTCAACTCATAAATTATTCTTCACTGCATCTTGTAGTCAAACTAATCTAATAAAGTAGTGCTTTAACTTTTATTTTTTAAAACTCTATTTACAGTTAGTTTGTCTCATCCTAAGTTGCTCGGACTCTTCAAAAATCATATCGTATTCGTATCGAATCCTTAAAAAATATACTATTTTGGAGAATTCGACATGCACCCGATGACATTTTTGGAAGAGTCCGAGCAACATAAGTCTCATCAGTTCTAAATAATAATTAAAACAGGCATGAAGGTGTGTTTGGTATAGAGGAAAATATTTTTTACTTTTTCTATGTGATATTGGTTAAAATATTTAATAAATATTTTTGCAAGGAAAATTAAGAAAAATGACTTTCCTAATAAAAGTATGATAAACAAGTTGCGTAAGTGAAATTCCAAGTTTATTGTCTCCTCCCCAATCCAATTCTCCCAACCCCCACCTGTTGACCATCCCACCCCGCCACCACCCCCCAACACCCACTCTTCATCCCATTCTGCCTCCACAATGTTTTGCTAGATAACATAAAAATGTTTTGGGGTAACATTTTCTTGCTTACTTACCAAATACAAGAAAATAAGTAGGAAATCCACTTATTTTTCAAAAAGACATTTTCTAGAAAATCATTTTCTGTGGAAACAAGCGAAGTGTATTTGGTATGTCGGAAAAATGTTTTCCTCGGAAACCCTTGAGAAACACACAGTGGTGAACCACTCCTGTGCAATCACACAAAAGATGAAAATCATACTAGGTAAGCTCAATGAGACTAGCTCGATCGAGAAGTTGTTGGCAAGGGGATTCGATCCCTGGCATCCCTTATGGGATACTACTGTAACAGTAGCACCAACTCAGCCACCCTTCCAGGTCTTGTGATCATTTTATACATAGTTTGTTGAGCTATTATCTTTTACTTGTATAATTTATGGATTTTAGTTTCCCACATTTTATTTGTGTTTGATAATTGATAATTAGCATCTCCATACGTAGAAAGAGTACGAGGAGTTCAAGGAGCGGTTGAAGAAAGCTCAAGAAAATGGAGGAACAAAGGATACTGGAGTCCAATTTGGCCCAAATCGTGATACTGTAATTGAGGTACAGTTTTAATCAGAAATTGATATAAATAGTTGTGTATCATAGACAAACATTTAATGTAGACATAATATATAATAGGCATAATACATAAATATGTCTTTTAACTTAACCTCATTTCATATTCATGACCTTCAATTTTGGGTGTGTGCAAGTAGACACTTGAACTTGTATAAAGTTGAATAAATAGACTCATGAGTCCTACGTGGCATAATACACAGAGGACCCAAATTGCCATGTATAACTATCCCTTTTTTTCATATCACCTACTGCAACAATTTAATTTTTTCTTTTTTTCTACTCGATATTCGATACCTATATTAAGATATCTGACTAATCCGATTTTCACTCAATGTCTAATATCTATATTAGGATTCCGACTAATTCAAAATTTTCTTGCAGATAATAGGCCAGAGAGGTTGTGGAGCCAAAAATAATGGCAAAGCTAAACTATCATCTCTTGTTTATGTTTCAAGGGAGAAAAATACTTCTCATCCCCATCATTTCAAAGCTGGAGCCCTCAATGTTCTTGTATAATTCTCTTTCACCCTTTTTATAAACAGCTATTCATGTGTATTTTTAGTCTGTGAAAAAACAATATCACCTTTCTACATTTAGTACCCTTCCGTTTTAATTTATGTGAACTTATTTGATTGGACACGAAATTTAACAAAAGAGCATTTTTTTTTATATAAATTCGTGATTTTGAACATGTTTTAACGTTTGTGTAGCTGTAAGAAGTTCTCAATAAGCATAAAATGGGAAGTTTAAGTTGGTATTTCCAAATTTAAAAAGACATAATTATTTTTTGGAACTAACTAAAATGAAAATAGGGTCACATAAAGTGGAACAGAGGAAATAAGAGTTTTTAATTCCAAATTTCTTTTGTTCCCCCTTATGATACTCTCAGAATGGCATGACAAGTTTAGGATAATAAGATTCAAAAATCTTAGTTTATGTTCTTAAACTTATTGTTACGGAAATTTTAATTTTTTTTGAGAAGCTTTAATTGCCACACAAATATTGTGGAATGTTTAATACCACAAGTTTGAAAAATAATCAGTTCTTTCTTAAGCTTTGTGTCTATTCAAACTTTAGAACTAACTGAGCATATTTTAATTAAATAATTCTCTTTACCCTTTATGACACTCCCTTGAGTGTTATGACAGGTTTAAGATGATAAGTTTCACAAATATTCATTATATTCATTAATCTTGTGTCCAATTAGGTTAAGATTCATAAAATAAAACAGGGTGAGTATATTTTCTTTAAAAAATATTGAATGTGAATAATAGGGGCGTAGCTAGGGCCAAGGGGGTTTAAAATTGAACTCCTTCGGCGGAAAATTACACGGTTTATACATGATTAAAATTATTATTTATATCTACATAGTATATGTTGAATCTTCTTTGACTTTTCTGTGTGTTTACTTCTTCATATTTTGGACTCCCTTAATGAAAATCTTGATTCCGTCACTGATGACCAAGAGTAATCATATGATTTATTTATTTTTGCAGCTTAGAGTATCTGGAATCATAAGCAACTCACCATACATATTAATGTTGGATTGTGATATGCACTCCAATGATCCATCTTCAGCTAGACAAGCAATGTGCTTTCACCTTGATCCCAAAATCTCTCCCTCACTTGCATTTGTTCAGTTCCCTCAAAGATTTCGCAACATTAGCAAGAATGATATTTATGATTCTGCCATGAGAAATTGTTTTGTGGTAAGTTTTTCATATCATATATGGTTTTACATTTTATACATTGACGTCGTAAAATAATGTGTATACATTAAGATCATCAATATATAACTGCTTTGAGATGCTTTACTTTAGCCAAGGGCCTATCGGAAACCCCCTCTATCTCTACGAGGTAGGGATTAAGTTTGTGTATACTGTATACTCTACCCTCCCCAGACTCCACATTGTGGGATTACACTATATATGCTATTGTTGACTCTAAGTTATATATACCATCAAAAAAATTTACATCATCAAGTCAACTTCGTTGTAGCATGAAACTATCTTATTTTCAAGATTAAACATCTCACATTTCAAGGAGATTTACCTCTAGATATCATTTAGATGACCTAATAGTGTAAAAGAATCTTTCACTAACGATGTATATAAATTAAACTCTTTATGTTATGTTGGTAATTAGAGATAAATCTCTTGATAACTATTCTCTGCAAATTTCTTGTAAATATCTATCAAAGAATTTGGTCTGTTACTATATATTTAGGTCAGGTGGCCAGGGATGGATGGGCTTATAGGACCTATGCTATCTGGTACATGCTTCTATATGAAGAGGAAAGCTCTATATGGGACTGCTATACACAAAGGTATTGCTCAATTAATTAAAGATTTGTAAGTTTCACATATTGACAGTATATGATTTATTTTTTTGATAACCATGGTATCTGAGTCAGCTTGTGTACATCACAACTTACTCCACATGATACCTGCCACCTCCCACGAGTAACAAGTATCAGCTAACTATGTTCACTAAGATTAGAACAGATGGGATGAAATCACGTAGTGTTTTGTCTCTACCTCATGGTGCTCAACTCATTTCATTGACCACTAGATTATACCCTTGGGCAAAGTATATGGATTTTTTATACGATCAAATAAGTTGACTTACAATAACATGTAAATCTTCATAGCAAACAAACCTGATATAGTAATGTGAAAAATAGAATAATAACTTGTTATCTATGTTGTTAGAACGCTTCAAAAATGCCAATGGATGCATGTCGGATTCTTCAGCAACATTTTTAGAGAATCTGAGCAACACATCCTGCTGTAGTTGGTTAAAATGAATTGATGGTGCATATAACTTGATATATCCATTATAAAAATGCTCTCCAATAATTCTAGACAAATTTGTCTCTTCAATAAAAAAAAATTCCATATATACTCTGTAGTAATCGCAATTCTTTTAACTTTTTAACCAGACATGGATCTTAGTGAGCTGAAGAAGTATTTTGGTTCCTCAAATGAATTCCTAAATACTGTTATTACATGCATTAATGATAAGCAAAATGACACTGGCATCAAGGAATTTGCTGACAATAAGATCCAAGAAGCAAGATTTTTAGCCTCTTGCACCTATGAGGAGGAGTCACAATGGGGAGAAGAGGTAAGTCGACAGTCACATTAATGCTGAGAATCAATTATATATATTTTAAAGGTGGCAAGTATGCGGATTGAGTTAAATTGGAGCGAGGAAAAATAGGTCAAACTGATAAATGGTTTATGTCCCGACCCCTTCAAAGTTTCTTGGGTCAAAATGACTAAATAATGAATCATAGCCCAACCCCAATATGACCTATGTTTCCTATATACTTTTTTATTTTGCTTTTTGAAAATAGAATGTGAATGCTAGTGTAATTTTGTCAAATTATTAGCTTATGTCCTCTCAAATTTATGCAATTCGAATTCTCCAAATTCTATTTTCTATACATTGGTTTGAGTTGCACCATTTTGACACAATAATTTGATGGGTCATTTCGAGTTCAATCCATTGGGTCAAATCAACAAACATGATAGTTATGATAATCAATGTAACCCCTTTTAACTTGGGTAGTTGGGCCAGAGGCGGAGCTAGAGGCCAGGTTTATCTATATCCCTTCAGCCTAAAATTACATTATTAATATAAGGTCGAAAATAGCTTTTGATGTATATATAGTAGAAGGTGAGGATCTCCTAAAATTACATTGTGTATATAAGGTCAAAATTATTTGATTTATCTTGCCTTCTTCATATGCTTACTTCTTTATATTTTGAATTCCCTCAGTGAACATCCTGGCTCCACCACTAAATCGAACGAGTTACACCTAAAGAAATGGATTGATTTTAATTTGCCACCTCTAGCATGACTCTATCAATTCTTCATTCTATCATATTTGCGCTAACTTTGATTGACTTCATTTATATATACAGATAGGATTCCTGTACCATTCAGTGGTGGAAGACTACTTCACAGGTTTCATTATGCATTGCAAAGGCTGGAAATCTGTGCTTTATAACCCTTCAAGGCCAGCATTTTTAGGCAGTAGTACAACAAATTTGAATGACACATTAGTTCAAGGAACAAGATGGAATTCTGGACTAGCTGAAGTTCTTTTCTCAAGATTTTGTCCCCTCATCTATGGCTTGAAATCAAGACTGCCTCTTCTTGAACGCATGTGTTATGCTTACCTTGCTTCTCAGCCTCTCTTTTGCTTCCCAGCTTGGTTTTTAGCTAGCATTCCTCAGCTTTGTCTCCTAAATGGCATTCCCATTTACCCTAAGGTATGAGGATTGAACTTATATACACTGATAATGCAAAAATATTTTGAACGGTCGGTGAAGTTTAACGAGCTGCAACAAGTAAAAGTATATGTGTCATGTATCTATTGGTTTTTAGCTGTCATTCCTCCGTTTTGTCTCCTAAATGGCATTACCACCCTAAGGTATCAGGATTTAACTTATATACACTGATAGTGAAAATATTTTAAACGGTTAGTGAATTTTATGTGCTGCAGCAAGTAAAAGTATATATGTGATGTTATTAAATGACATTCCCATTTACCCTACGGTAAGAGAAAATATCAATTTTAAGGTTTAACTTACATCTTTGATAAAACTTACCTCCACCCGATTTTCATCAAAGTTCAAACCAACAGATATATGAGAAATTGATATGGTTTGGCTTGAAAATAGAGTAAGTAATTACCATTGGATTTAAGTTATATACACTAACGATTTTAAGATTTTTTTTTATGCTATCAGCGAATTCTAACCTGTGATAGCAGGTTAGGTACCATTTTTATTACATTTTCAATAAGAGCTTATAATCAAGAGATTTACCTATAATTATCTATTAAGTGACCAGATTGTGTGAAGCTTTAATTAACTCATCAGTCTATAGAACTTAAATTCATTACTGTTATCTTTTATATGACTAGCATAAAATTCTTATTCCACTATCAATATATAGGACTTAAATTAAAACTTCGAGATAAACTTTGATGGTAACTATATTATATTTTCACAGGTCTCAAGTCCATGGTTCTTTGCATATTCTTTTCTTTTCTTGTCAACACTTTCGAAATACTTATGGGATGTTGTAAACACTGGAGGGACAGTGAGAACATGGTGGAATGAATGGAGGGTATGGATGATAAAATCAATAACAACTTATTTCTATGGAACTTTGGATGCAATCGTGAAGTTTTATGGCTTTAGAAAAGCAAGTTTTTTACCCACAAATAAAGTTGTTGATGATGAGCAATTGAAGAGGTACCAAATGGGAATTTATGATTTCCAAGCATCTAAAATGCTAATTGTCCCTTTGGTTACATTAGTCATACTAAATATGATTTCCTTCACTTGGGGAGTTATTGGAAAAGTGATTCTAGAAGGGAGATTGAGTGATTTGTTTGGTCAAGTGTTCCTCTCATTTTTCATCTTGGTGGTGAATTATCCTATAATTGAAGGGATGATATTGAGGAAAGACAAAGGAAGCATTCCACTCTTTGTGACTCTATTGTCTACTTTGCTTTCTTTTTGTCTTTTGTTCATTGGTTCTATTTTTGTAAGGTAAGATGATATACTTAGCTTAAGATAGACAATAAGAATTATTGATCTCTATTTTCCACTTCTGATGTTGTCTTGTTTCACACTTGTGGGATTTCACTGGTTATGTTGTTGTGGTATTGTCTAATCTCCCATATCAATTTTATAACTATTACTATCTTACTCTTCGATATTATTATTGATCTCTATTTTCCACTTATGGTGTCGTCTACTTTCCCACTTCTGCGATTATACTAGGTATGTTGTTGTTGTTGGTTTATCTCTTTGAAGTAGTAATGATTATCTTCACGAGATGTATATACTATAAGAGCATATACGAGGGGAGAAAAAAGGAATCATGTAGCTCATGCTGCATTAACCGTATTCTGAGTTCAAACAATCAACCTATTTGAAGTGACTCATTTGTATCGGAGAAGCCCCTGTATGAACAATGTCATGTTCAAGGTTTCTTTTCACCTCAATACAATATATATTTGTGCATCATTTCTAACTCTTTCAGTAATAGACATTTATGACTACACCAGCAGAAGGGTTCTGCCTCCGGCTCCACCAATAAATTAATAGGATTTTAGTAGAATTTTGAAGAACTCATAATGTTCAAATTTTGGACTCGCCTCTGACTCCACCAATAACATTTTATAGTATGAAGACACCACACATCATAGCTATAAGAGCATATTATTTGTGATAACAAAATAAACTACACCAAAACAATGTACCTATTTGTAGTGGATTAATCACATCAGGAGCATATATGAGGCGAGAAAAAAAGGCTCATGTAGCTCATGTTGGATTAATCGTATTCTAAGCCAAAACAATGAACCTATTTGAAGTGGCCATGTATGATAATGCTGCATTCATGATTTCTTTTCACCTTGATACATTATGAAATTGTGCAATATCTTCAGTTTATAGTTCAATACACCTTATATTCGTTGAATGGATAACAATATTTTCTACTTATGTGAGGTAAATACGAATCGTGTTGGAACGATTTTTGCTAACAAATGATGTGTTAGGCCAGTGTAGAGACAGAGGGACAGGAGGGGACAGGACGGGTTCAGGCTTAATCTGCAAAGACTTTTTAACCCGCGTTACTCGGTCCGCATATCAATTTTTTCTGTTTTCAACTATTCCCGCATAAACCCGCCTCGTTAGCTAGCAACAACTTCTGTATTTTGTTGCTCTTATTAATTTGTTAAGCCAATAGCAAATCTTCTCATCTATTAATTGTTTGTTGAACTGATATGTTTATAATTTAACTCTGTTGATTATATTGGAAGAATTCTTACTAAAATTACACAGTATCTTTTTCCCTACGATAAAGATATACTAAGCATGATTAAGATTATTGTTTAGTTAAATAAATCTAGATCATTAATATGTAAATGGACTAGTAAACAACAACAGCATACTGATAGAACTTATTCATACCTTGGAGAGGTGGAGAGGTTGTTTTCTCTCTGGATGTTGCCACTTCTTAAACACCAAAACTGCTGGTGATTTCTCCTTCTTTACCTCCTCCTTACTATCAGAAACTGAATTCATCGGCCGCTGTTAAATTGCTAGATTTAGGCGATGAAATCAACGGCGATAGAAGAGGAATACCTACATTCCAATCGGTTGCACAATTTATTTGTATCGACGCTGGAGCTCGCCATTGCAACCTGCTCGGTCGCTGCTGGTCACCAGAAAATGTACTGGCTTGCTTGATATCCGCCATAAAACGAAGTAAAACGTTCAAAATAAATCACTATTAGATTGTTTTCATCACCGATCTATACTTCCCGAACATTTTACAAACGGCACTTACAAAGTCGTTGCCTCATAGAATGACGGCGTCACGGGATGTTGCCACTTCGGAAACACCAAAACTGCCGGCAATTTCTCCTTCACCTACTCCTTACTGCTGGAAATTTAACTTATCGCTGCCGTTAAATTGCTAGATACAGCTATGAAATCAACAGTTATAGAAGAGGTATAGCCTCATTCCAATCGATGCATAATTTATTTGTATCGACGCTGGAGCTCGCCCTTGCAACCGGCTTGGTCGCCGACGGTCACCAAAAAACGTACTGGTATACTTGATATCCGCCATAAAATGAAGTAAAAAGTTCAAAATAAATCAAAATTAGATTGATTTCATCACCGATCTACCCGAACATTATACAAACGACATTACGGAGTCATTGCCTCTTAGCATAACGGCGTCACAGGATGTTGCCACTTCGGAAACACCAAAACTTCAGGCGATTTCTCCTTCTTCACCTCCTCCTTACTACCGAAAATTGAATTTATCGCTGCCGTTAAATTGCTAGATTCCAGCGATGAAAATCAACGGCGATAAAAGAGGTATAGCTACATTTCAATCGGTTAAACAATTACTCGATTAATATCAACGCTGGATCTCGTCGTTGTAACCGGCTTGGCTACCGGAGGAGATCGTCGATTGCTTTGGATTCGCCATGAGAGAAATGAAATTGAATATGGCGGAAGATGGGGGGAAGGGTATTTATAGGGGAAAATGTGCGATGGTGAAGATTTTCATCAATGTTGAATTTTCTTTTCTTAAAAATAATCATAAATTTTTATTTTTCAACTCCTATAAATTTGACAAGGCATCTATCTATATATGTATTAGAAAATCCATATTAAGGAAAAAATTGTAACTGAATTTTTTAGAAAATTTGAGAATTTTTCTATCTATAAAGAATTTTCTCAAATAAACACATATTTTGGATGAGCAATATTCAAAAAACTTACTCACAAGTTTTAAATATAAAAAAAAATTAGACGATATAAATTAATCAAATCACACTAACATATTTTTTATAAAATATTTACTGGCTTTCATATGTCACTTGATTATATTAATTCTATAAGACATCTCTCCAAAATGCTACCTCAACTTATTTACACGCAATAATAGTTATTATATTCTAACTATTATATTCCATATTCGAAATTTATTGATTCAACTAATTTGAATTATATTGAATAAAAGCAAAAACAATTTTATCTACCCATGAAGCATTAGTTCTTTTTTTTTCCTTCATTTTTTCACTAATATTACATCCCATTAATTACATCTAATTCAAATATGCAATAAGCATAGACAACAAGATCATAACTTAGTTTGTTACTTCAAAAATACTTTACAAAATTCAGGTGGAACAATTGTAACTATACAAAAACAATTTTATCCACCCCTTGGACATAAATTTCTTGTTTTTTTTCACTAATTTTACATCCAATTAAATATAAATGGACTTTTCCAAATATATTAAAATCAATTATCTGAAAAGCATCTTGAGTTCTTCAATTCTAGCAGACCTCACTTCTTCATCAGTCAAAGCTCCAGCTATCATCCTTTGCTTTCTTGCTTGGACTTGTTGCATTCTTTCTTCCACTGTGTCCTAAATATAACACCATTTTACCAAAAAGACAAATCAACAATATGTATAAACTAAACAAATAAAATTGTTAACAAAGGTACCTATTTGTCAGTGACGGAGCTAGAAGTTCATATAATAGGATTTACAAAAATATTACACCTAGAATTTAAACACAATGTCACAACCTAAAGCAATTTTCGAACCCTTTTATCACTGAACTAGAAGTCTTCCTACCATTCACCAATACATGTAAGTCTTCCATAGTAAGGCTTAGGGAGATAAGATTATCTTAGTCACTGACGGAATCAAGATTTTCACTAAAAAGTTCAAAATATGAAGTAAACACTTGAACATCGACGGGTTTGGATCCACCCCTTACTTTTCTTAAATCTATTAAGTGTTTGATCAAGAATATTAGTACAAGTGACAGCTTTGATAGGAGCAATCTTTACCTCAACAATGAACCTTCTAACACGAACTGTTTTCTTTTGACCAATACGATGAATTCTCATAATTGCTTGTTCTTCAACAGCAGGATTCCACCATGGATCCTGTAATGATTAGAAGTAAGAACATTAACACTGTAGAGAAAAAGATTTGGGAGTTGGGGGTGGGGGTGGGAGGAATGTATATAGAATTACCATGAGAAAGACATTAGAAGCTGCTGTTAAGTTCAAGCCAACACCTCCAGCTCTTAGTGACATTAACAAAATCTGAAACAAGGTGATATTTTTAAAAAGTTAAGCTTTGAAAGAGCTAAGCAAAACATTCAAGTTGAATAGTGTATTGGTATCCTATGTTGCTCAGACTATTGAGAAAATGACATCAGATACCTGTTGAATCCTCCAAAAGTAGTTTTAGTTTTGGAGGATCCAACAAGGGTGCAACAACTTTTTTTTGAGAGTCGAACAACATTCGTACTTGTTCGACTCTTCAAAAATGCATACTTTTTGAGGATTCAACATGCTTTTTTGGAGAGTCCAACTGAGACATAGATGATAAGTACTACTTACTGTTTTTTCATTAGTCTCACTGAACTCTTTCAAGACCCTTTCTCTTTGTTTCTGTGACAATTTCCCATCAAACCTCAAGTAGCCAATTTGCTTTCTTTTGAGTGGGATTTCCAAAAGATCAAGAAATGAAGTCCATTGGCTAAAAACAATGCTTTTTTCACCAGATTTTCTTATAGGTTCTAAGCAATCCATCAGCTTTGAAACTTTAGAAGATACTTGCCAGTTCTTCTCAACATCAACTCGAAACCGATTTGTAGAAGGACATGTGAATAGCTCATGTTTCTTTAGCATTTGCCTGCAAATTGGGCAAAGTCCACTTGCTGGAGTTCTCCAGCTTGAAAGAAGGCATTCTCTGCACATTCTGTGGGCACATGGTGTTAGCACAGGGTCATCTGCTGACTCAAGGCATATGGGACACTCCGTATTTTCTCCATTTCGAATTCCCTCAACAACTTCTTCTACATATGCTGGTGTAGGTGCTTTCTGTGTTGATGAATCAGGATTTGTTTCCAAGAACCTTCTTGCTAGTTTGTCTAAATCTGCAAATTCTTGATTATCACTTCGGCTGCACATTACAAGCAATATATATAGTGTTATATTTTAGAAGAAACTAACAAGCTATGTTGTAAGATTCTAGGTTGCTCAAACTCTTCAAAAATATTGTCACATGTGTTGGATCATACTAAAGCTAGCACTTCTGAAAGATCCGACAAAAGTGCAGCAATATTTTTGGAGGATAGCAAGCAACATAGGTTAAATTATAGCAAGTTTATTGGATTGAGAATGATTTCAACCTCATCACAAGGAAAGGATGGTTGCAACACTGCCTCAGTCGAAGTAGTAATTCAAGAATATTAGCATAGTTGTGAAGAACTTTTCCTTGTGCCACAAACTGATCAAATTGAACCTGGTTTATTCACCAAAAACAAAAGTATAAGCATACATTCCATCAGCAACAATGATGATTCTTTCGAGTAAAAAAAACACATTTTTTAACAAATTCAGTTTTTACATGGGAAGAAAAAGATTTTTGTTCGTACTTTAGATCTCTTGAAGAGGGCATCATAGAAGTCACGTTCAGCTTCTGATTGTGTACACTGAATGACTTGAATGTCGGTTGGAGGGAGAATAAGAATCGCCCTGATTTCAGAAGAATACATGTCAGTGTTGAGAGAAAATCATGTTTGCAACAATTTATAAAAGAATAGGATAAAGAAGATTTTTTTAAAAAAATAGAGTAAGCACCTTCCATCTTTGTCCTTGGTATCCTTTGTTCTCCTCAACATCAGGGGCCTCAAAATGGCCTTGATCAATTTTAGAGCTCTCTGATCACCATTTTCATAAGGTCTCTGTATTAACTTGTTCCACCTAAATTAGGAGCAAACAGGAAAACAGAACTACCTCAGTCGTGCTACGCAAACCTTTTAACAAATAGAAAAGCAGGCAGAGTAGTTGACATTTGAAAACTTTCTAATTCCATCAACATATATATAACAAAATGAATAGAATCATTTAACCTAAACTTACCATGCCCAGTTGCACCATGGCTCGACATGCAAGAAACATAAAAGGCTGTAAAGATCTTCCAAATTATTCTGCAGCAATTAGTAATTATAATATCAATACAAATCATAGGACACCAGGCATTTATTTCATTCATAAGCTGTATGAGATAATAATTAGCAGTGCGCTTGATTACAATACTTCTGTGAAGCAAAAGAACTGAAGTATAATCATGCAATTTTTGTAACATACCTGCAGAGGAGTACCAGTAAGACACCACCTACAATGTGCTGACAAAGTAAAAGCAGCCTGTGCACCAAGAGTCTTCCAGGATTTTATGGTGTGTGCCTCATCCAGAACCACCCGGTACCAATCAACATTATGAAATATGCTTTTCATATTATTCTGAGTAACAACAAAGCTGTTATCAAAACAACAGTAATAGCAACACAGATGATGTTAAACTAAATGGCATGCATTACTACTTACAGCCTTATAAGTTGCACTCAAGACACCATAAGTTGTCAGGACTACATCTTGTTCTGCTATCACTCTAGGATCATTACTTCTGTCCCCACCATAATGAACAAAAACTGAAACACTACCAGGCTTTGAATGTGCTTCAAGTTCATCCTAGCATTCAAAAATAAACAGGGATTTAGAGTGATTGGAGCTGTAGCAGTAAATACAAGATCTGATAACAAAGTACCTATGTGTTAACAGAGATCTAATATAAAAGCATGGGAAAAACAAATTCTGGACATTTCATTGCACGTTTTATTGACTTACCTTCCACTGGCCTAGTAATGCCATAGGACAGACAATGAGAGTGCCACCTTTTGCTTTTTTTGAGACTTCGGTATCAGTATAAGTGATTCTTTTTGTTACACATTCAGTTTCATCTGTGTCTTCCAAGGCAATTTCCTGATCATCAGGGCTACCCCTCCCCAGATTCGCAAGTATTAGAGAAATTGTCATCACCGTCTTTCCAAGCCCCATTGCATCTGCCAATATCTGCAAAGATCAAACTGATTCAGATAAACAGAGAATACTGAAAAAAATAACTTGCAGTAAGAGAAACACATGAAGCAACAAATTAACTAACAGAAGAACCAGATCATGTCAATAAAAGACAATTAAGAGAAGGGTTAGTGAGAAGGAAATCCCACCCCTCCGCGTGCTGCGTTTGATGCAGTTGGGAATTCAGTAGTTGCTTCCCCAGAGAAAATGTTGACATATATTTTCCTCCTGTTGGAGAAGTTTGGTTAGTCATTTATGTTTAAAAACTAACAATAACAAAAATATCTTCTTTAAGCATAGATCATCCGTGACTCTTTTTTCCTTATTTGCAATGTCTAATTCAGTGAGGGAAGTGCCTACTCTTCACATATCCGATATGCTGCCCAACATGGATGAAGAGTTTTTGATGCTTCCTCTACACCAGCTCCTTTCTCTGATTCTGACATCCAGTAAAGAGCCTCCTTCTGGTAAGGCCTTAGGCTGCACATAAGTGTGTCGGGAGCCTCCATCTCCTATACAATGTATAGGATATAGACCAGTGAGTAGCAA